CCCCTGCCTGTTGGCCCCCCTGGACGCCGGTTGTTCTGAGCCAGGAAAAGGTTGATTCTCAACCATAAGCCTTCCCCCTCCCCCCGCACAACCCTTTGTCTGTGAGGGTGACGTACCCTGTTGCATCTCAGCTGTTTGTCATTACACACTGTGTTTAGGTGTAAGCGTAGCTGTTCCAGAGCTGGGTACAGCAGGTTGCAGTTGTCCAGCTCACTTGACGAGATGCCTGATGGTACAAGGACCACACCCGTGCCCAGCTGACAAGGAGGAGCTGGGTTGTGCATGTGGGACTGACGGATGGCAATGGTCCCAGCAAGCTGTAGGTCTCTGCTTTGATTGGGTGGCTCAGAGCTGAGAGAGACTTGGAACCACTGTCCTGACAACCATGCGGTGCAAGTGTGACACCTGCTAGGCAGCCAGCACAGCAGGGTCCTGCTTTTGTCAGCTGCCAGCATCGCCTGTTCCTCTAAAGGCAAGTCTGCCACTGTCAGTCTCCCACCCAAAGAACTAGGCCTCCACCATTTGCCTTGGTGCCTGTCAGCATTTCAATTAAATGAAGCATTGCAGAGGCCCAAGGGTTGGAAGATCCACCATGGGCCTGCTTGGGGTTTCACTGGGGCATTGTGTGTGGACCAAGGCTGGGTTACACCAGAAGAGCTGTGAGTTAAGGGGTCTGTCCTCCTTGGATTTGTTTGTGTTGTAAAAAGCCTGGCTGCTGTTGAAAGCAGTAATGTGCTTTTCTTAAAGTCACCCAAAAATAAACCCCCCTCCCACCACGGAGCAGCGTGTGAACATGGCCTGCTTTTGGGATCGGTCCATTTGTCTGAGCGCTCTCCATAGCGGGGCTCTAGTGTTCTACTTCTGTGCAGGGGGGCATGGAGTCAGCCTGTGGGATTCTGCCTACAACCCAGACCCTTGAGAGGACTCCCTTGTTAGTGAAGAAACAGGGGTCCTGCAGGCACTTCCAAAGCCCGTTCTCACGGCAGTGCCAACCGGGGATGATAAAGGCAAAGCAGGCAGGAGCAACTCCTCTGATTTCGCTCCGCCAAGCGGCTGCTGCCCTTTGTTGTAGCCACATTGGCCTTGGCATCAGTGTGTTCAAGCAGAGGAGGTTTTATGGGCCCTGGCTGCCTAGAGATACAGAACAAAGTGTCAGTTCAAATGGATCTCCCCTCCTAAAATGCCCTTCAGTGTGGGATATCTAAATGGGTAAAATCCTGTCTCACTCTGAGGGCAGGGGCTGCTGGCCAGGGTAAGTTTTAGCAGCTGTGTAAACACACAACCTGTCTACTTTGACTTGCTCATTAGGTTTGAGGGGCCAGCAGCAGGTGAGCAGAGCTTAAGGGAGGTAGAGCAAAGCTGCTGTGCTGTGTGTCTCTTCCCAGCCAGCCAGCATGTTGGCCAGGAGCTGGGAATGGGCCACAGGATAAACCACTTGATTCCCTCTAGGGCACTGGCCACAGCTGGAAGACAGGACAGTGGGCCAGCTAGCCTATTGGTCTAGCCCAGCGTGACGCATGCCCCTGGGGGAGATGCCAAGCTGGAAAAAGCAGGAGTGAGTCAAAAGCATAAGTGGGGCATGGGCACTGAGGTGCCCTCGATCAGCAAAGGGGGCCAAGAGCCACGAGCTGTCGGAGCTCCACCCTTGCTAATGGAGGAAGAGCATTTGACCAGGGCTGGTGAAGTGTTTTACAGTAATTACCTTTCCTAGGACAGCTAAGAGCTCCTCTGCTCCGTGCCTCTGCCATCCAGCCATGCTAATGGACGAGTGCTATTAATAGTCAAATCAGCAGCTTCTCTCTCCCAGGCTGGCAATAGCCCCCCCATGTTTCAAGTGTAGTCTCAGTGCTGCAGCAGGCGGCTTTTCTAGGACAGGGAGGCCAACTGTGGTTAAAATAGGGCAGGAGGAAGCATGTGGCATTCTGATGCCTTTCCACACATGCAGCGCCCACCCTCAGGGCTTGGCTCCCCCCAAGCATTCCAAATAAAGGCCAGACTTTGAAATGCTCCCTACACTGCCCAGTGGGTGAGGGGGGGGATCCAGATTTCTAGCAGGCCCAGCTCACTTGAAAACCTGGCAAGGCCTTAAACACAGGGCTGATCTGTGCTAGCCTGGGGAGGCTCACAGTGACCAGGGCTACCACTCAAGGCTACTCTCATGAAAACCACACCTAGCATAAGCTGGAGCTGCTAGGAAAGCTGTTACATGTTTTGTACTGACCCAAGCGCGCCCACGCCCCCCCCCCCTCCCCCCCCCCCAGACACAACACAACCCTCCAACAGAAAACGAGAGGCCTGGTTGTACAGAAGTTTTAGTTTTAACTTTTAATAAATTTTAACTTTTAAAAAACAACATTTTGGTCTGAAGTTAGGTTAATGGTCCTTGTCTCCAACCCCTGTCTAGCCTGGAAAGTTTTATTGCCTGCAGCATGTCAGCCCCCCCCGAATTGGTTTTGACGTGAGACTCTCTGTGGTCCAGTTCCTTTTTGTACTTAGTCCTAGCTTTAAAAAAATAAATAGAAAAAAATAAGTTTGATTCATTTGTCCATCTATAACCAGGGAGGAGGAGAAAATGTCTGTACACCGAGAGTGTAAAAAAAAGGGACATGGAATAGATCATTAAAGCTGGTCAGAACCAATTTTTATAGCGCAAAACAATGGGATGTGTTCAGTCCTTGCTGAAATAGGGATTAGGTAGTGTCTTACGATGCCCAGCTTCCTTCCAGCAAATACTCAATAGTGTTGTCTAATAAATCAGCCATTAATACTCAGACATTCAGCTACTTCCTTTAGCCTCTCCCCTGGGATAACAAATGGCACCTGATGCCCAGGTCTGTCACTGGGGTGGAGAGCTGTAAACAGCACAAGGTCACTAGGGCTGCTCTTTATTCACACGCCCTAGCACAAGCCAGGGACTTAGCTCCTCCCAGCCCTTTGCTTGCCGGGGAGCCAGCCGCCAGAGCACTGACCACTGTTCGCTGGCTGTGGCAAGTAAAGCCAAGATGTGAACCAGGGGCTTCTTTCAAAACGAGGCCCCCTTCACAGTGGGAGCCAGTAATCATCTTAGCCCCTGAACACCTTTGGGCTGCAGCTGGCTCCCCCGAGGGCCTGCACAGGCTCAGACTAGCGAAGCTGCAGAGCTGGGACTGACAGGGTGGGCTCTGGCTTCCCTAAGATTTGATTCCCTCACTGCAGCTAAACAGGTGGCCGGGGAGGCCTTGCAGTCATTTAAAAAACCCAACAACTGACAACAAGGGAGAACAAGCGAGTCTTTGCAATTGCCCCCAAGGCCTCAGAGGACACAGGAGACAACCGAGTTCAGCTGTGTGTGTTATTTCCACCAGCAACACAGCTAGGGGATTCCTTTCTGGAAACTCCAGAGGAAAAGAGCAACTAAGGAGGCCGTGAAACCGTGCCTTGCCAAGAACAGCCTGGGAAGGAACTGGCACCAGCCTTCTGCATGTGTGTGAAAAACCAAACCAAACCAAACCACCATGAGAGCAACCTGCCCCCCTCCCTCCTGCAGCAATGGCTGCCGGCACAAAGGCTTCCACCGTACTGCTCTAGTTCGGAGACAGGGCCTGCTAGCCTTGGAGAAGGGAATCCTTGCCTCCCCGGTTGGTTTTAAGGCAGCTGGGTGAGGAGAGAGAAAGGACACTACTGTCTGGTGGTACAAAGAGCTACCACCCCTCCCTCTCCCAAGGTTGGCACATTTCCATCTGCAGTGACAAGGAAGAATGGCGCATTCTAAGCACACGTGGAGGGGTGGTGCTGGCACTGCAGGGTCCGTTCCTCTAGTCTCCCCCCTAGCTGGGTCAGCTATTTCCACTAGATCCCTTCTGAGGAGAGAAGAGGGGGAGTAACTATTTCTAGGGGACAGGCAGGAGACCCTTGTACTATGGTTGGCGGCAGGGTGGAAGCTGAAGTTCTCAAAGTTTGGCTCTCTCAGCTCACGCCTGCGGTGGTGGGACCGGGCAGCACGCTGACGCCACGTCCGCATGCGCCTGAAATCAGTCGGTTTTCCGGTGGTTGTTGTTTAGGACGGGGTGCCCGTTGGAAAGGGGCCCGTTCTTCGTCACCTCCTCCTCCTCCTCCGTGTTGTCCGTCTCGTCGCGATCACTCCTCTCGTCTTCCACCACCTGGAGGGGTTGAGAAAGGAGCTTTGTGAATCCAGGTGCAACGGGGCAAGTGGCCTGGAGCAGGGGGAGTGTCAGGATGCCTGGGTTCTGTTCTTAGCCCTGCTTCTGTGCCTTAGTTTCCCTATGGAACAGCATGAGCAGGGCTTAGTCTGAGGTTCCCCCCCCCCAGCCCTGCCCCTCCACTGGCGCCATCTTGACTTAACCTGGGCAAAGCCCTCCCACGGAGTCCACCGCATACTTCAGAGGGCACCAGCTGCTGCCTGTGAGTGAGGCTAAACCCACAACGGTGACACTGAAGGGGCCCCCCCACTGCCTTCCCTTCCCTTGCGATGCCCCAGGAGGGGGCTGCTGAGCTCTGGCGTCTCCCTGCTGCTGCCCTAGCCAAGGCCTCCCGTTCCAAAACCACAGCACAGCCCGAGGCCTGGGACATGCCACTTCCCCCAATCACCCAGGCCCTCACCAGCATCAAGAGGCTCCATTCCCATAGGAATCAGCAGGGTCCAGGAGCCTGGGTGACGGAAGAGCTGAACCCAACTTTTCTCACCCTCAAGGCAACAGAGGGCCCAGTGCCCACCAGCACCCTGTCCCACCCCAATGCCTGCACCTCACAGGGGGATCACCACGCACTGTTGCGCCACAAACCAACCTGCACCCGTCCACATCCTGCTAGTGGTCCCCATTAAAGCAAGAGAACTCCCCTTCCCCCCAATGGATCACAAACCCTGCACTTCCTCCCCTCCCCCCCCATCCTGGTGAGGTGGCAGTGGCTTCCCTCCTGGCCCCCTTCCAAAGTAAGTGCCCCCCAGCAGAAGTGAACCTGCCTTTCCAGTTATGAACTTGTGGGCCATGCGGATGATGAGGTAGGCCCAGAAGATATGCAGCGACTGCAGCACCACCATCATGCAGTTAAAGTAGTAGTAACCGAAGAAGGGCGGGTACAGGTCCAGAGGGTAGATCACTGTGCAATGCATGATCCTAGAGGGAAGAACAAGAGAGCCCAGGCATGTTCACGGTACTGAAAGTGGGGCGGCTACATGACCCTCCTGCTAACGCAGCTCAAACAAAACAGGAAGTGCAGCCTAGTAGCTGGCGGTGCAGCCTGGGGCTAAAGAGCCCTGGGTTCTAGTCCCAGCTCTGCACTCCCCAACCCCCCGTGATGCAGCAGCAGAGCCCGCGGGAGGCCTTGCAGCAGCACCCCAACGCACATGGGCGGAGGCCGGGGCGCTGGCTCACCAGAAGGGCAGGATGACGAGGCGAGTGACGATGAAGACGGCAGCGAACACGATGAAGATGTTGTTGCAGGTGTTCTTCCAGCCGGCGTAGTTGAACATCTTGGCAGACTGGGGCGAGAGGCCAAAGTGACAGTGAGCTCCAGGGCCCTTGAGGTGGGGGGCGAATGGGGGGGCCTCTGGAGCCACTGCCTCGTGGGAGCTCTCCCACTTGCAGAGGCTAGTGAGGGTGTTAGGCGCTTGGCAGCAAAGGCAAAATTTGCGCCCAACACTGGGCACTGACCTGGCACAGCTGAGCCCGACCCTGGGAGAAGGGGGGGAGCTTGTACCACGTCTTCCCCCACCCCCTCCAGTTTGGGGCCAGGCCCCCGCACGCACAGCGGAGATGGAGGAGGGTCGGGCTGGGGATGGAGAGGCAGGGAGAAGGCTCCAGCCTCCAGTGGCAGGCAGAGGGAGCAGAGGGGGACTAAATTGGCACCCCATTAGCATGGCGCCTGGGAGAGACTGCTCCCCTCCCTGCTACAACACTGTCAAAGGGAGTCAGATTCCTGCTTCTCTCCCACCCTTCCTCAGTTGCCCCGGGAGCTCCTTAGGACAGGAACCATCTCAATCTGTACATACAGCACCTCCCAGCATGGGCCCTGTTCTTAGCTGGAGGGCGGGAACAGAACAGCAGCCCTGCTACCAGCAGCTGCTGGTCTGGTTTCCGGGCAGGGCCTGAGTTTGGAGAGTAGCCGCCAGTGACAGAGGGGGCTCCGCACATCCGTCTCGTAATGAAACGGTCACACGTCAGGTGCACGGCTGCGGCGCCTAGAGGGCCCAGCGCGCCCGGCACGGCCCAGACGCGGAGTGACTGGCCGTGCCCAAAGGAGCTCAGCGTCCAGAGAGACCCAAGGAGGGGAGTCAGGGCACCTGGCTCAGTGGGGCAGGACCCCCCATTCCCAAGGGAGTTGGTCCCCCTGGCTCCATGTGGTGCTTCACACTGCCCAGGAGCCGCCCGCCGGGCCTGCTCTCACAGGCATCGGGATTGCGAGCTACGTCAGCCTGTGGGGGGGAGGGGCCCCGCACTGCTCTGCCCCCCTCACCTCCAGCAGGTAGTCAGAAGAGTCGTGCAGGGCCATGATCAGCGTCCCGGCCCGGATGTAGTTGACGCACCAGGAGAAGCTGATCAGGATGATGGTGGCCACGTGGTGGATGATCTGCTCTTTGAAGTCCTGGCAGGGAAGGGCGGGGGGAGGGTTAATGCCCACAACAAACTGAGGGGCCCTCGTCCGACCCCACCTGTTTCAGATACCAGGCCCTGCCCAACTTAACCCAACCCCTGGCCCTCTGCAAGCAATGGAGGGGCGGAGAGGGGTTGCCTAGCCATTGGCCAACTACACCCGAGTAGCATGGGTCCACGGTCCCAATGCCAGGGGCGGCTGGAGGGTGGCCCTAACAGAGGCAGCCCCTTTAGTAGAAGCCCTCTGAGCCCCAGCAGCCCCACTGCTCCCGTGTCCCAGAACCAGCCACGGCCGAGGGATTCTCTCCAGACCCTGGGGGCAGGGCCCGCCCCGAGCTGCCAAGTCCCATCCCCATTCAGCAGCAGGCCAAGACTGGGGATGTACACGGGTCTCCATCCCGGCCCTGGGGACACCGCTCACCTTGCGCTTCACGTCCGAGGCGATGCTGAAGAGGAGGGACCAGTAGAAGGACAGCTCGATCATGTAGTACCAGTACTGAGACGGCAGTGTGGTCTGCAAGGCAAACGGGGCCAGAGGGCAAATCACAATACTGCTCTGCTGAAGTGTGCCTGGGCGCCCTCTACTGCATGCGATCGGAATGGCACCCGCTGTGTCTCAAACCCTATACTGCATAGAGCTAAGGGGGGATTCCCTTGTAGCTCAACTAGCAAGGACCTGAGCTTTGGAAGCAAGAGTCCTAGATTTCTAGGTGGCCACAGGCTGCTTACTGCACTATCCCAGCGATTCCTTAGCCCTCCTGCCAAGGAGATATTAACCACCAAGTGGTTGCCATGAAACCATCCAGATTGCAGATCCCAGTGGAGCAGGGAACCTGGACTGCGTAGCAGGAGCAGCTGTGCTGGAGGCTGAGCCACGCTGGAACTCTCTGCACGGAGCTGCAGGAGAGAAAGTCAGCTCTGCTGAGGGTGCTAACTGGAGGGGCTGGACTCACCTGGACCGGGTAACCTTTCCACACCTCCCTCAGGTCAGAGAACCAGGGTTTCTGTCAAGAAGAGCGGGAGGGGAAGAGAGCAGGAGGTTAGTGGGGACAGCTTGGCCAGGACAGGGCGAGAGGCCAGGAAGGGGTCGAAATGGCAGCGCTTACTTACATCCACTATGACGGCCATGCCAGCAATGAAAGCAATAAGGTAAAAGGTGAATCGCCAACTGGAAAAAGGAAGCAGATGGTTCTCACCAGAGGAACGTGGGGCGGGGGGGAGAATGTGTTACGGGAAGGGTGCTGGGAGCCTGGGGGAGCTGGTTCAGGGGTCGTGGGGTTGAGGTGCCTGGGTCAGCAGTGACCCTTTGGGGGCCTGTCGAGATCTAGCAGGGATGGAGCCTTGTCCTATGCCCGGTGGGAAAGCTGGGGGCTGAGCCGTGCAGCAGCACAGTGCTGGGCTCTAGCTATGGGGGGGCAGCCCCCTGAGCCCGTCACTCTGAGCTGGAACAGTCCTCAGAGCCCAGCTGGGCTGAGGGACAGCGCTCACAGCAGGCCCCGGCCTGGGGCAAGAAGGGAAGCGCCTCCACTGGTCCCCTCCCCCACAAGCTTCCCACTCAGCCTGCTGGATGCGGGTGCAGCACCTGGGGATGTGGGGCACGAAGGGGCAGCGCCCGGTGCCCTACACGCTGCTATTGCCATGTGTGCAGCCCAGAGAGGCACTGGAGAACCACCCGCGCACCGAGCCCTGCCAGGTCTCATTCCAGCGAGCGCCCCGCTCAGCCGGAGCCCAGGGGGTGCTGCAGGATGGGAAGGGGGCACTGGGCTCTCACCTGGCCTCCCGGAACTTCTTGAGCAAGCTGGGCCGGTCCTGATTGCGCCGGCGTCGGAACCAGCGCTCCACCTGCCGCTCCGTGCAGCCACTCTTCTTGGAGAGCATCTCGACATCACCCTGCAAGGGAGGGAGGGAGGGGGAGACTCAGGGTGGCTACCAGATGCCTAGCCAGACCACGGGGTGGGCGGGGCCAGACCACAGGGGCGGGCTGTCTGCCTGGCAATCAGGGCTGCACATGGTGGCCTGCGGTGATCTTGCGAGCCCAGGTCCCGACCAGTGGAGGTGCGTGGGGAGGGAGCTGGCCCTAGCCCATGAGCTCTCCAGGGGCCCCAGCTCGCCTCAGTGGCTGCTGCAGCTTCACTGCAGCTGAGCTAGCTAGGCTGGGCCCAGCTACACGCGCCGCAATCCCAGCCCACGGTCCCAGCGCAGCCAGACCCAGGCTTTGCTCTGAGGCTTCAGAGGCAGCAGCCACAATGACGGGGGGCTGGCACCTGGGAGCACAAAGCTGAAAGCTC